TTTGGGCTACATTGCTAATTCACGAACTCCGATCTACAAATTTGATAAAGAATCTACTAAATTTTATCGTAATCGGTCCATTCGTTATCGAGATATCGTGCTAACGAACGGACAGACGAACAGACACCGCAAAATTATAAACTCGCTAGGAGCTCGTTAATAAGTATGTAAGTTTAGTATTGTGTGCCATGTTTACTCGCATTGGGCTTATTGACTTTTACATTTGCCGCCAAATTTCGTTGTCCGTTCCTTCTCACTCACTTTCAAGTCTTTAAGCAAAGTCATTTTTGAGAATTTTTTGCGAGCTTATAATATTCACATAAACAGTGACTGATAACAAGAATCATGCTCATTTTGCGCTTGAGCATTCCATGTCTGAGTTTCGCACTGAATGGCATTCCGTATGTGCGTTTCGCACTCTTGACGCTGATTGGCCGCAGACTTTAAATTGACCAATCGCATCACCCTATAGGTGCGAAATACATATACGGAATGCTTAAATGCCCACCGGACCTACTGTTCCGTGTGAAATAGACGGATGCATCAGCGTAACCGCTGATCGTGGTGCTCATCGATGTAACAATGTGGAGTTTTACGACTCGAGCTCGCTACGCTCATGTGTCAATTGATCGAGAGTTGGAAAACACCTTTTTCTGAAATTACTTTAGAAACAACTACTTTCGTCTCTAAAATGGGTGAAAAAATGTCATTTTCTTTTCTAGCGAGGAGAGTAAAAAACAAATGCGCGCTAATCTTAATAATGACATTTAAAATTGAAACATACCCGTATCTAGATCAACCTGATCATATATTGGATACGATAATTTTTCGATTTTTTCAGAAAAAAAATTGTGTAAAACTTGAGAAAAAAGTGTTTTTCAAGTCGAGTTCAAAGTTACGCTCATAATGTGTCAATTGAACACTCTTCTCTAGTTGTATAAATAATTACTATGGTTCTCATGTTTTACACATAATTATTTTCCTGAAACTACTATCAAAATTGAAAAATTACAGTATGCAATGGGTAATGAAGTTTGATACATAGCAAGCTGGTGTTTCAGTCTTAAATGTCATCATTAAGATTAACGCAGCAATTGCTTTTAGCGCATTCTTTTAAGACTAAATAAAATTTATAAAAATATGTGCTATTGCTTGCGTTTTTGCCGTCCGTCTGTCCGGCTCCACTTTGAACTACTTCTACGGTAATGGTCCTAGAGTTCTGGAATTTTCTGCAATAGGTTGCCTATACCTTAAAGGTGTACCAGACGACCATAAAATTTCTCTGTCTGAGGGACATACTGTTTTCGAAAGTAAAACGTGCATAACTTTTACATACGACAACCAAATATTACCAACTTGTTGGTTGGAGAGGAGTGGAACTGGTTCTATCTTTCATAGTACTCTAATGAAAGGTCTCAGATTGTCGGTAGAAGGTACTCACAAAGAACGTCTGGAAGAAATATATCAATTTGTGATGTAAAAACTGTAAGAGCGAATATCTCGAAAGCGGTCATCTACCAAGAAAGTAAACATTGATAGCATGTTACTACCTTACAACCCAACCATTTACTAAGTTATTTCGGTTTAAAAAAATGCGCTTTATCTACAAAAGAGTGGTACCTACACAATTTATACTTGTTTACTTTCCTTACTAGAGAGAAAAACATTTCTTCACCCTTTTTTGAGATGAAAGTAGTTGTTTCTAAAGTAGTTAAAAAAATTTTAATTTTACATTAACTTTAATTAATGGTTACTCTGGACTTAATTTTTTTTAGGCAACCCACTTCTAATGTGTTTGATTAGGTACTAAAAAATGTATTTCACTGGGTAAACAGATGGGCGAAGGTTCACCTTATGTGGAATCTTAGACTAGGTATATGAAGCATCTTCTGCTGAAATTTCAAAAAAATTGTCTATAAATTAAAAAAATACGTCAACAAATAAGAAAGTTAGCACTGTGCATGCACAACCAATTCTTTGACACGTCATTTCAATTTATAAGAAGCGTCTTAGCTTAGAATTTATAAGCACAATAAACGGCAAGAAAACGCAGAAAAATTCCTTCCTTAGTGCAATCCTCGACACCATAGCAAACCAAATAGCGACAGACGGACGGACAATAGCGCAATTTTTTATTTTTGTGGAAATGCTCTAAATATGTGGCACAATAAATGAAGATTTAAACAGATAAATATAGTAGGAAACACATCTATGATCAATCTAGATTCTAGACAAAACTCGTAAAATGAGAGAGGTAAAGTGAGTTGCCTAACCGTAGGGGTATGTTACACCAATATTGTTTAAAGTTTTAAACAATGCCACCATGCGCAATAACGGTGGCGGCACTCCAGCTACGACTTGAATACCATGATCCGACATATCGAATTTTTTGTGATCATTTAATCATAATATCGACTTAAATCGTTATTTTTTTGTTATTTGCAACATTTTCAATTAATTACATGCGAAATTAGATCACTCACTAGTAGACGGGGGTCACTGTAACCCGTAGGCCCAATCTTAAAATGAGTATAACTTTTGTTTTAAAAGTGATTTTTAAAAAACTGTTCGGCAATTTTGTTCCTTATTAACTCATCAAGTACCTATGTACACAACAAATTTCGTGAAATTTTCTCCATTTTCGTTGTCCGGCCAAGACTTGCAGTGGAACTTTTTTTCGAATTTTCAAAAACTAATTCAAGATTCGTGATTTCCATGTTCAAAAACCACCAGATATACCTTGTTTCTCACCCTCAAGTATAGGGGTGCGCCCTTTCGTGGTAGGAATTTAGAAAAAAAATTTTCAAAATCAGATAGGCCATATCCGAAAATCTATTCAAAGACGACCCATCTTTGTAACTCTTATGGTTGCAGAGAAAAAAATTAAATTTCACCACTTCTTAGGGGGTGGCTCCCAAACGAAGTACGTTGCACCCTCGGTTTATTTGGAAAAAGTGCTTGTCTTGATCTCCTCTATCACCTAATTTTTTTTATATACGGTCATAACACCCTGTATGTAGGTATATGACTTAAGTAGTGAACTAATGATATAATTGTATAAATCCACCATTAGGTTTTTACTGTAATTGTTTAAGGATCATCTTTAATTGTTTTTGAGATATTACGTAAGCGATAATTTTTTTATGGAAATACTATTTTTTATGTTAAATTCGAACACAGCATGAAATTCTAAGACCAATTACGCTAAAAATGTATGATAAGTACTGTATATTAAAATATAGGTAGGTATTCGAGATAATTAATAAAACCAAAAACTCAAAAACAATCAAGAGTTTTAATTTAAAAAAATCAAGTAGCCATATGTAACAATTGCGGTGCCATTAAAATGATGACAGTTCTTCATCCGATTGTTTATCTGTTTATGGATAAAAGTAGTCGATTTCCACAGTTGTAGGCAGTATCTTTCGTGTTTTTGAACGACGTTTAAGCATCACACCCCTCTCACTGGGACACGGTCAACTCGCCAACGGACGACTCGCCACTGCGACAACTCGCCAACGAAATATTTTTCCCTGTTTAATGTGTCATAGAAATGCATCCCACAAATGCAATAGTCAATTTCCCTAATTTTGTAAAGAAAGTTTATCGAAAAATTGTAGTCAATATTTGAATGAAGACCCAACCGCCTATACCTGTTTCTATTACTGCATTTTGATTTAACGACATCTACTGCAAATTATTATTTGAACAGAAAATTTGACAATCACATCTTTATTTAAACGACACATTAAACAGGGAAAAATAATTCGTTGGCGAGTTGTCGCAGTGGCGAGTCATCCGTTGGCGAGTTGTCCCGTTGGCGAGTTGTCCCGTTGGAGAGTTATTGTCGCGTTGGCGAGTTGTCCCGTTGGCGAGTTAGTCGGTGGCGAGTGGTCCGGTGGCGAGTCACCCTTGGCGAGTTGACGCGTACCGCTCTCACTGTAGACGGTATGAGGCGCAGGAATATATGTAAGTATTACAATTTTACATTATTATAGTTGGGCCTCTTTACTATTTCTTACTAATAATAGCGTCATAACCAGGTCATAACTTAAGATGCGTACTTGTCATCTCACAGCCTGCTGTGCGTAAAGGATAATAGCATTGTATATACAATGATAATAGTCACCAAATAACTTATACAATATGTGCTTGTGGTAGTACAGAGTAACGTAAATTAAACAAGTATGCATCTGATGGACTTTCCTGTAACACCCCCCTACACAAAGAATGTAACATTACAGAGGAGCAACGGCCCACCACATTCTCTGTGAATGGCTGTCACTCGCACAACAGACTAGAAAATTCATGCTGGAGGATCAGGATTCCTGCTCAGACATAATGAGGTAAGATTGGAGATGCCTACTCCGCCAGTCTCAAGTTTGCCCCGAGAGTGAAGAGGCTTCAGTTATGATGTCAAGGACAAACGACTAGAGTTGCAAAAAAAAGCAGTAATTATAATGGGACCTGGACAGTTCATCTGTGATATCATATTGTACGAGATATTGTAAATAGGTACTTACCTGTCAGTCGTTTTAAGTAAATTTTTGTTATACCTACGCTATATGAAAATCAATATAATGATCATAAAATATGGTGCCAAACCAATAATCTTTGTGGTCAGAATGTACATTTCATTAGAAGTTTTGTTGATGGGGTCCATATTTAGTTATGGACAAAAATATAATGATCGCCAAATAGGTACTGCAGCACACGCAACCAACATTTGACTACATTGTTCAATTTGAAAATGCAAACCAACAAATTAAGGTATCTCCTCCTTGAAGAAACGGTCCGAGTCCGATTGATAGGCATGTTGATTGCTTATGCTTATTACCTTTGTTAATGATAGCACATTTAAAGGTGCCCAATGGTATTTGATATTCCATTCTCACCTTTATTCATGGGCGGAAAAGTGACACTTTCCACTGTAGTACATGGAGTGGGTAATATAGAAATCTTGAATTTTGAATTGGTAATTAATTGCGAGATTTATCAATACATTTTTAATTCTTAAAGTGCTACTTATTACAAAAGTACATTAAAATCATATCACATTTTACAAAAAGTAATTTTGTTGCCACTACAGTTTTTTTATATCCTCTGATAATTGGCAAACTGAGGGATGTTGATTGAGAGCACTCATATAAATGTCTAATTCATCTTCTGAGCTTTCTTCTTTAACATTCGCTGTATTTTCAACGTTCATACTCACATCCTCAGGTTCCTCAGAATCAAAATATTTTTCTTCTTCATCATTAGTGATGATTTCCAAATTATCATATTCTTCGCTGTTATCCACAGCATTGTAGTCAAAATCATCATCTTTGCCCTCTAAGAATTGTTCGTACATTGTGCTTACGAATTCCTCCTTCAGTAATTCTCTCTCTTCTGAAGTAATGAAAAGATCAATATCTTTGGTGGTTCGTCGTGGTTTTGTCGGTTGATTATTCTCCTCGCGAAATTCTCCCCACAGTGTATGCACCGGTTTTTCAGTACCAGTGTCTTCCTCACTGTCACTACTGTCTTCCTCCTCGTCCCGCTCTTCCATCTCTTGGACTCTTCGTTTGGCTTCCATTTGCTCCTTTTCAATGCCCCCCATAAGAATGCTCACAAAACTGTTCACGTCTGAGCAGCCTGAGCGATCACGTAAACGCTTTTCTCTTGTCGACAAGTAGCGTCCGACCAATTGATCGTACAGCAAAGGATTTCGTTTCATCATTTCCGTTTCCGAGAAATAGGCTCCTGTAGACACCAGCCGTTTTAGTGCAGCAAAACGTTTATTCCGTAAGCGTTTACTTGTTTTGAAACTGCTCTCTTTTAAGTTTTTTAAATGATATTTAACCTCGTAACCGTCTTTGGTGTCTTCTTCAAATTGTTGGAAGAGATTAATTTCATCCGAATTTAGGAACCTACCAAAACGTGACAAAAAGTTGGCTTTACTTTTAGTGAAAATTTCCGTGAGAAATTTAAGTTTTTCTTCCGGCGAGCTGTCCATTTCGTCTCTTTGTTGACTCTTACATAAAACTTCGGGGTTGTTTGATAATTCTTCCAACAATTTATCGAATTCATCTTTGCTGGGGGGTTCATTTAAATTTTCCACCAAACATTCCATCGCCATGTTGCGACATCTATTAGAAACTTTGGTATCACCTTTGAGAACTCTACCTTATGACCAGCCAGATGAATCACTGTTCTGTTTATTACACTTTCTGTTGGAAAGATAACCTAAAACCGAAATAAAATACTTCGCCTTTGTGAGTTCTCTTACCAATATGTTTGCAATAGAAGCTTCCACACCATGAAAAAAATCACTGACGCATAATACAACCACGTAAGTAAAAGCAGCACTTTTCTACTGCACCCCTCGCTATTTTCCTTACGAACATTTCCTGGTCCCAAACTTGGTTTTAAATATACAAAGTGCACAAAAATTCAGGCATTTTATTTCTTACAGAATTATGGATATTTCGAGAAGCGTGAACGACACCATTAGAGGGCGCTGGAAGTGGGAGGATTTGTGTGGCGCGGACGGATTTAAATTTTGGTCCTCAACAACACGCGATATCGGATTATGTTTTGAGCAGCTTTGCCTTCAAATACCCACCCTAGCAATGCTCGCGACGGTTTCCGCATTTTACTTCGGTCGCCAAATTCACTACGTAATCAGGGGGAAAACTCAGTTGCTTGCGATTAAAATTCGATGCATTATTGTTTCACTTATGGTTGCATTACCTGTACTTCAAACATACATCGACCTAAACAAAAGTGAAACGCAGATTGAGAGAATTACGTATTTTTTAACAACAGTGGACGGAATCGCTTGGTTAACGCACTTAGGATTTCTCCTCGTCCTAAGGAAACGTTTGGGACTAAGCCCTCGCGGTCCACTTTTTATGTGTGTACTATGGTGTCTAATTGCAGTTTTAAGCGTGCTTTCCTTGCGCACTCATTTTCTTATATACGAAGTTCAAGATCCGAAAACATTCAGTGCATCTTTGGCTTACAGCTTCAGTATTGTTCGTCTTATTCTCCAGCTTTTGTACGGATTAACGCTCATCCCAGGTGAAGGCGATACTGTTTACTTAACCTACACTCATGTAAGTAAAACTCGATCGAATGCAATTGGGCTACCATGCACTTTTAGGATGACGAAACTCAGGCGTTACTCACGACTAGCCCCTACAGCCGTTTTGTAGAGGAACGTGATCCTCTTTACCTTGGAACCGCTATGGAAGATGATAGTTGGTTTTCGAAGTTAATATTTCACTGGGTCAATCCTTTAATGAGGAAAGGGGTGGATGGGCGCCTACATCATCCCGATGATTTATACGATCTTCCAGATTCGTTAAATACCACTACTTTGGGATTGAAACTGGAAAAGGCGCTTCTTGGAAACATCGATGATGTTCAGAAGAGAATTGCGGAACATATTCATGGTACGTGTAACATACAGGGTGCGCCAAATTAGATGTCTTCTTATGTATAAAAAATAGTGATCTTTTACTCAACTCATATTTTACAATGAAGTCAATAGCACAAACAAAATTTGATTATTTCAAAGGTTGCCACTCGGGTTGTCATATATTTTTGGCCACTAGAGGGGACATTTCTCAAATTTTCACAATTCCATTTTTACCTTTTTGTTGTTGACGGTAATTGATTTAGGAAAAAACTGCCTCATTAGTGTTTTTTATACAGTAAACAATGAGACAATCAGTAGGTATATTTTGTTTACTTACAGTGTGTCTTAACTAGTTGAGTCAATGATAATACAGATATATTTTCAAAATTTGACACTATTCTTATAATAAGACGAATTCATTTGAAACGTATTTTAAGTGGAATACCTGACATATTATTTTATTTTTAAATTCTTGCCCTATACCTAAGTACTTAAGTTTTGCAATTTGCCATTTAATGTCACTTGCTGCCTAAATCATAATCGCCATTTTTAGCGAATTTTCCAACTCATTTTAGAAGGCGCTATTGTGGCCACTTTCTCCTATTGCTCTTCTGGTATAAAAATAGTCACGTTAATCATGCAGATAGCCTCCCACTGCAAAATTGGTCGCCTGTGAGTTATACACAAATTATGCTATTATATTTTCTCCTCTATCTAGCCCATGCGAAGAAAAGACATGTGTTGCAGTGGGCGGAGACCTGCGACTGTTCTTATACTAAACGATGTATAATGTGCGCATGCGCAGATTGCGCAATGTCACTTTTTGTAGTTATTGAGATATTTGTTTGACATTTTAACCATAAATGCTTCTTGTAAGAGTAAGCGTATGGTATATAATAAAAATCAGGTGCACGCGTCTCCTATTTCGTGATGCTCTATTTCCTTTTGTTAGGAGATCTACAGTGACTCAAGAAATGTATTATTAAGATTGGATTGCACATCTACACTCGAATCTACACTATTTTCATTGCTCTCTCCAACCAAGTTCTAAAGCACATTCCCTCAATTATTGATACCCTCCTCTTTTCTAATCACAATTTGTTTTTTTGGTGTGCAGTGCACTAACATGCGCAACAATTTGCTACTTTCCCGCACCCATATATGGATAGGTAAAGTATTGTTTTCATCTCAGAAAAAGTACATTGTTGTAGTTGTTATCCAGCTTGTTACCATGATAACTCAAAATCTACTGGGACAAATTGCGTAAATTTTTGTAGGCGTATTACTTGCTGGTTGGATAAAGGTAAGTTCATAGCTCTCCGTTCATACGTTTCCGTTTGTCCGTTAGCCAATCAGAAGACAGCAAATTTTTAAATCGTACGTCGTCCGTTTACGACGGAAAAGTTGGTTGAAGTTGAACATTTACGTTTCCGTTGGTCCGTTTTTAACAAGAGTGAGGTTATGTTTGGTATGTTAACAGCGTTCGCCTATTCGTTCTTCACGGTAATAATCAGATAGCAATGTTTTCTTACTTTCGTACCATTTTCACATACTGAAAATCACGGAGGGTACAGTACAAAATAAAGTTTAGGTTATGGTTATACTTGCAAATGTACAATGTGGATGGATTGCTATAAACCTTAACAAAACGTACTATCCGTTTGACGGATCAACGCAACGTATGAACGGAGAGCTATGAACCCACCTTAAGACAGACCGGTAAGGCATATCCTTCTGCACGTGCGCATTTGTAACTTGCTTATTTACGAACCGATCTTGCTGAAATTTTGCCAGTAACGCCTTTTAATAGAGGCAAATCGGATGACTATAATAAACCCATGAAAAACTGCGCGCGTATGCGCAGAAGTAAGATGACAAAGCGAAAATGTTGGAAATTATTTTTAGTTTCATATCCCACTCCAAAAACAAATGATACTATTGTTAACTGTGGGAGGAAGGGAACAGGATTAGATGAGGTGGTCTTTGGTTTCATAAATTTCAAAAAATTTGTATAAAAAATGTACACCCGTCCCATAATCATCTCTAATTCTATACAGGGTGCAGCACCCCTCAGATCATAATTCCTTTACCATAAGATATATTGTAGCGAATATTCTAGAAATCCCGATAAAATATGAGTAGGTAATCGGCATTAAGAAACGAAAGCAGAGGTGACGCATTTTTTCCGGGAAATATGACGTTCAAGAACAGTCTAGAATATTCAAGAATTCACATTTGAAATAAGTTTCTTTGGGAGCAGGCCGGGAGTAGATACAAACATAAATGTGACGTCACCACTAAACTGTACAATACTACACTACACAATTCTACTTCTAGATTTTTTCAATATGTTTTATGGTAAAGGAATTTCATCCGAGCGGTCTTAGGTGCTACACCCTGTATAAACGCATTGAATTCATTTGTTTATTATTCAAGGATGAGTTTTCCCATTTTTGCTATGGGGATCTCGTAAACTGTAAGAGATACAAAGTCGTTTAAATGGGCAAAGTTGTGCAGAATGTTATGCTGATTAATTTTTCCCTTTAAAGTTCAATGTAGCTACAAATAGCAAAGTTATGACTAAAAAACCGAAACATGCATTTTTCTAAGATACAGTGCCCTTCATTTATTTTCAAAGGTATCAAAAAGTAGTGAATTTTCTCAGCTTTCTGATGGTGCCAAAATAAAATTTTTGCGACTTGTAGGTTATACATAAGAAAGTTGCATTTCTGCGCATGCGCAACACGATTTTTGCGCATGCATTTTGTTTGCTTTTATTAGAGGGACCTACCATCCGAAAATTGCTCCATAAATAATAAAGTTGGATGTTGCACATGCGCAACTCGATTTTTTGCGCATGCATTTTGTTTTCTTTTATTAGGAGGACCTACCATCCAAATTTCGTTTTAATTGTTCCATAAATAAGAAAATTGCATTTCTGCGCATGCGCAACACGATTTTTGCGCATGAATTTTGTTTGCTTTTATTAAAGGGACTTACCATAGAAATTTCGTTTAAATTGCTTCAGCAACAAGATCGTTGCGTTTTGCACATATGCAACACAATTTTTTGACTTTGACAATTTTTTTCTCTGTTTTTTGATAATATAACCCGGCCCAATTTTTGGTAGGTTATACACAGGAAAATAAGGTCTTCCAAATAATAAATAAATTTTAGGTTACTATTTGAAAAAAAAAGTTCGATGCCGTTACGGCGCTCCAAAATTTCGGTATGCCTAAAACATATATACAAAATTTCAACAAAATCCGTCGAGCCGTTTTCTCAGAAAATTGCCAACAAACGTACGATGTACGTACATACAGACGGAAAAAAATTTTATTCTTTAAAAGTTGCTTAAAATGGTCTAAAACGTCGACATTTGATGAAATTTTGAAATGTTCAAAAAACGGCTATCGCAATAGCTACCTAGCACATGCTAGGAAGCTAAAAATTACACTGACACTAAGTAACACTTAGTATTTTATTTGGGAATTAAGCTTTAATATTTGCCTTGAAGTTTACAATGTATTTCTTATGGCAATAATTCCATAGCTTGCTGGAAATTTCGTTTATTGTCCTATATTAGGTAATATCGGCATATATTTTGGCAGATACATTCATACAAAAAACTTCGATTTAATATGTCTAAGTGAGCATTGGTTTATCGACAGCGAACTACTAGTATCTCTTAAACTTGGTGACTACTCAGTGTCGTCCTTCCATTGCAGATCTTCGTTGACTCATGGTGGAGTGGTTATTTTAAATAAATCGTGTAGTTCTTATAAACCTTTAAAATTTATTAACGACTTGTCTGTTGATATGCACTTTGAAATCTGTGGCACTCGCATTAACTCTTACACTGCTGTAATATGTATTTATAGGTCTCCTAATGGAGAATTTGATACCTTTATGAGTCTACTTCAAAATATGCTCGACAAATTAGTTAATTTTAATATTGTTCTGTCAGGTGATTTTAATGTTAATTTTGGTAAAGATTACAAATCACAACTGCTCTGCGATTTTCTGGAAGCAAACGGCTTTGTTCAGACAATCTTCACTAGTACTCGTGGAGAGAATTGCCTGGATAACATTTTCATTAATTTTTCATGCTTTAGTTATAGAAGTAAGACCATAAATACTGGTTTGTCGGACCATTTTGGTCAACTCATCGAACTTAAAGTTGAACGCATCAGCAGTGAAATAACCTGTGCCAAGCTATACCGTCCCTTATCGAGTACAGGTATGTATCTATTTTTTTGTAAATTACAAACGTGTAATTGGAAATCAATCATAAACTCTGACGCAGGCGACTGTAACGCAACATGGACCGATTTTATGAATATGATTTGTAACTTCTGCTATACTTGTTTCCCTGTTGTAAAGATTACAAAAAAGGGGACCGCGAACAAAGTCAATTGGTTTACTGACAAATTACGTAAGCTCCGATCGAATTTACAACTGATCAGTGAACTACATTATATATATAAATCACCAAATTTATATCATTTAAAGAAATCGCTCTCTTTACATTACAAAAAAGAGATTCGACTTGCCAAAATAAAAGCCAACGATAATTTTATTAGAAACTCTGGGAATTCCAGCAGATCTATGTGGTCAATAATAAATTCGCATAAAAATTGTAATATTGAATCACATTCGTCTTTAACATGCAATGATTTTAACAGGTATTTTAGCAGTATCGTTGAGGAGATCTTGGGCAATTTGCCTAACACTGTCAACGACCCCGTTAGCTCTTGTAATTTAAAGATTTCCGATAATTTGCTATTCGACTTTAAATTTGTTTCGCAAGTCGACACACGTGACGCAATCAAAAGTTTGAGAAATAGCAGTTCAAGAGACATTTTTGGTTTTAGCGCGGCCTTAATAAAACGTAACGTTAGTGTTTTCGTCGAACCTTTAACTAAATTAGCAAACATCATTATCAAAACAGGTATTTTTCCTGAAACCTTAAAAGTTGGTTTGGTTATTCCACTTCTTAAAAAAGGAATGGATGGAAAGAGTATTAGCAGTTACAGGCCAATCTCTATTTTGCCTGTTTTCAGCAAGGTCATAGAGAAACTTCTGTATAAACAAGTAATTGACTTTTTTGAATCTAATAAGCTGCTCTATCAGTATCAATACGGTTTCAGGAAAGGTAAATGTACTTCTGACGCAATTATTTCTTTCACCGCGAAGGCTTTACACTATTTCGAAAATAAGCAACACATGATAGCTGCTTTTGTTGATCTCACTAAGGCTTTTGATTGTGTATGCCATGATACTTTAGTCCGCAAGCTTAGTGAGGTGTATCACTTTAGTAAACGGAGTTTGTCATTAGTGTCTTCATTTTTGTCTAATAGGTATCAATGTGTCCTCTTTAACAACGCAGTATCTAACAAATTACACATCAAATACGGCGTACCGCAAGGCTCTATCCTTGGACCCTTGCTGTTTTTAATTTATGTTAATGATCTACCGTCCCATTTGCCACCGCAGACGCAATGTATTTTGTACGCAGATGACGCTACACTAATATCGAGTAGTATGTGTTATGATTCGGCTTATGCCAACATTCAAGACGGCATCAAACTTATTTCTAGATGGTGCACTGATAATACTTTGAAACTAAATCCTGCTAAGACTACTATCTTGCCTTTATCTTTAAGAAAAGATAATATCGTCTCTAATGGTGCTCATTTCACATTTCTGGGTTGTGTGATTGACAGCAAATTAGACTTCAAATATCACTGCGATAATTTGTCCAAAAAATTGAACACGTCGATATTTTTACTTACTCGGTTGCGCAACTGCACATCTTTAAATACCATTAAAGCAGCATATTTTGGTTTTGTGCATAGTTCTCTCTCATATGCCATCCTCGCTTGGGGACACAGTTCTCATTGGCAATGCTTGTTCAAACTACAACGTAGAGCTGTTCGTGTTCTGGCATCTTTAGGTTATAGAGACGATTGTCGTCAAGCATTTATCGATCTCAGAATCTTAACACTTCCTTGTATTTATATTCTTGAAGCCCTGTGCTATGCTAAACGAAATATATCTCTTTACACACAACAAATTGACGTACATACTCATCACACAAGAAAAAAAAACAATATCCGTACTGATCTATGCAGACTCAAAATCACAAGAAGGAGTACAGTACCAATGCAAACATTTATACAACTGCCTTCCCTTAGATATAAGGATTTTAGACTACCCCATATTTAAGAGACGCATAAAAAATTTTCTTCTATGTAACGCATTTTATTCTTTTAACGAGTTTGTGGCTAGTGGTAGATTATGTAATTAGTTAGCGTTTTTATTGCGATTTTACTGTTTTTACCTGTCTGTTTTTAGTTTGTTTGTTATATTGTTTGTTATATACTATTATTTTTAATGTTTAATGTAATTTCCCGTTTCTTTTGACGAGTGTAAGTGTAATTCACCTTCTCACAATTAAATATTATTATTATTATTATTATTATTATATAATTACCAGGAATGGTCAGGGAATTTTACAAATTGGAAGTTGTCAAGGAATTTAATGATTCCCGCATATCTTCATGTAAGAATCCAAAAAGTGGCTGGTCGCGCCTTTTGTCCTATTTTTGTTGAGACTGTGGGGTATCTCAGCTGTTTTTAGTGATAGAGACTTGTGATTTTCGTGACCGGGGTGTCACTTTTTTGTGAAATTACGACCTGTGTAAGATAGAAAAAAGGTAAAACTGTATATTTTAGATAATTTTACATAGATTCGAGTAGCGTGGTTTAAAAAAATGTTTGGGCCACCACCGTAACCCAATATAGGTATTTTTAAATGCAAAACTCTATACATCTTTTTTGCATTCACAACCTGTATGTTTTTTATATACATAATTTCTATAAAACCATGGCCTACTATTTAACAACCCTAAAAGATCAGGTTTTTATTTTTGGTTCATGGCCAAAATTAACAAAAAATATAGGATGTATAATCAGGAAAAATAATTAAAAACAATTTACGTTAAGATATACAGGGTGTTGCATTTCAAAAATACCAGCTTTGAGTCAAATCTCAGAAACGGTGGAATACAATTATTTTTACTATGCCACTGCTTACTACGTAAAAATATCTAAAATATACAGTTTTTACAGTAAAGCCAAGCAAACAAGTCCGTCAAGAAGGCGATCGTTTGGTGTCGCTGTATTTTAGAAGTACAGTCTGTGTTTGGACGATGCTGAAATTCCATATTTACTGTCGCCAGCACAAACCTGATCAATACAATTGAGCATATACCTAAGGTGATACAATAGAGATCAAAGTCAGAAGACCACTTCCACAAACCACTACCCGCGTTAATTGAAGAATGGGACCAAATTCTCCTAGAAAAAATCTCATGCATGCCTTGACGTTTAGAAGCTGTTATTAGAAGTAGTGGCAATACTCGTTACTAAATCCAGTTTTAGAACAAGATACAGATAGATAGTTGCTCCTTGTTGGGAAACTTTACACTTTTCACTATGTTTGTTGTCGGTCTTTTTATATGAATGCAAATTTTGTGATTGTATATTAGTAACCACTTATTTTTTAGAGCCATCTTCTGCAAGTCTCCCGACAACATCAGATGTTTTCTACCAAGGCATCACAAGACCAAACGTATCCTTATTGAAAGCTTTACATAGATGCTTTTGGATTCAATTCTACGGTATTGGCATTTTAAGACTAATTGCCGATTGTGCCGGATTCGCGGGACCATTACTCTTGAAGAAACTCGTCAGCTTTATCGAGGACCAATCCGAAGAGATGTACTTCGGATATTTGTACGCGTTAGGATTATGTTTAACCACTTTATTAGGTATGATTACTCGTATTACTGTACCAATGCTAACAACGTATTTATTTCAGCTGCATTTTGTGATACTCATTTTAATTTTTATATGGGCGTGGTAGGTTTAAAAATCCGAGCTGCTTTAGTAACGACGATTTATAGAAAGACGTTAACTGCTTCGGGAACTGATTTAAATTTGTCATTCTCAGTAGGAGAGATAGTAAATTTTATGTCGACTGATACAGATCGCATTGTCAACTCCTGTCCCAGCTTTCACGCATTTTGGAGCATTCCATTTCAGGTAAGCTTCAATTTATAATATGCAATATTTCATGGAGGTATTTTAGTTGGGAGTTTCCTTATATTTACTGTACAATGAAGTGGGATTCGCTTTCTTAGCCGGGCTCGTGTTTTCCGTCTTATTGATTCCTATAAATAAAATGATAGCCAATAAAATTGGACAGTTAAGTACCAAAATGATGGAACAAAAAGACAGTCGCGTCAAACTTATGACTGAGATACTGAGAGGCATACGGACAATTAAAATTCATGTTTGGGAGCAATACTTTCTTAACAGCATAACACGTAAGATATTAAATTGGCTTCATTGTTATTTTCTATGGTACAGTTTTATCAGTACAGAAAACTGTTACTTATAACACTTGGTCTGTATCTAATCAAAAGCGCAGCTTTTATAAAGTTATCAACGTAAACTGCAGCCACGCAAACATTTTTTATGTGTGCTTTTCTTCAAATAGAGCGCCACCTACTTACTACCTTCTAATAATGAATGCAGTTTAGGTCTTTTCTGTATAACACAATAGACACCCCACATCCTGACAGCACACAGCATGCTAGATTTCTAAATATTGAATTAGGAATTTCTCTGCGTGTTTTTTTATACATAGGTAGGTAAGTATAGCAGAAATTGACCCCCTCATGCTCTGTCGTGAGGGCTTATAGAGCCGGCAACACTATAACGTTTCGACTCTTATGTACTTAAACTCTTGTTTCTTATCTTAAAACGCTTTATTTTCTTCAAGTTCTGTTTTTTTCCCTATGGAGTGGTACACATATAAAATTTCCTATACCAGAAAATTTTGTAAATTTGACACAAAAATCTTTAAAGCCGAAAGCAGCAACCTGTTGCAGGTTCTACTGTATATGGACATATACAGTGAATTTTTTTTAAATGCGAACATAGGAGTTTGTATGTAATGTAATTTTCCTATGTTCGATTAAAAAAAAAACACATCAATCTATTGAGTAGTAGACACAATTGACAGCTGTCACATTTTTAAAAATACCGCCGTCCAATTTAATTCCGAAATCGGTTAGGTTATTGCTTAGAATGTCAAGGAGGACACTTCGAACATTTATTGTAATTGTTTTCGGTATTTATTTTCTTATTTTCTTCATTTATGTATTGAATAAATCAAATTAGTAGAATACCAGGTGCACATGACCTACAAATAATTGAAGGTTGGTTCACAATGAATTGTGATGTCAGCGCGTGCCATGTGAAGTCAAGTTATCGTAAGTTTAAGAAAAATTTATCCTAAAGTTGCTATGGCCTCACATGGCTTAATTAAAAAAATCTTACCGAGTGCTCTTCATCATAAAGACTATGAATTGCTGTTCATAGTCACACAAATTGCGCGTTTTCGGAATGTGAACCGCGCACATCTCATAGATTGATGTGTTTTTTTTTAAATCGAACATAGGGAAATTACATTACATGCAAACTCCTATGTTCGCATTAAAAAAAAACTCACTGTATATCAAATATAGGACATTATTAATGAAAATTAAAAATTATTGAATAAGTTAGAGGATGTGTTTTGTAACTTTACTATTAATTATTATAGTTATTTATGTATTAAGGGCAGAAAAGTGACGTTTATATTCTCGGGGGCGATGAGTTAAAAAGCTTGAGGGCCGACAAATCCGAGAGCTTTTTAGTCGCTCCAGAGTATAAACATCAGTTTATTCCCGTAGTACATACAAAATTTTATCTTACAAATAGTTTTCTTCGTCATATTAAAGGAATTTATAACAGTGTTTTCACACATTTATTACATACAAATGCGAACTTCATTAATAATCATTTTGGCACCAATACTGGAACTAACATTAAACACATTTCAATTTGCTTATATAGCAAACGAAAAGTTTCTAGAACAATGGCGAAACTTCTTAAGAATTCTCAAATAAGCAGCTCACATTTCCTGAAAAGAACGCATCACATCCGTCTTCGTTCCTTATCACAGATGACTGATCTTTTATCGACTTGATGGCACCTCGATGTCGGTCGGTGGCGCCCGATGTCTCTCTGAATTATGTTGAGAAAGCAGCGTAACCTCCAAACTGCAATGGAGAATTTCTATCATATATAAAATGAAAGAAATTAAAATACCTCGACAAATGAAAAAGTTATGAGACATTAAAGTTGCGTTTGGAAAAATAATTTCGTGTCATAAGCGTCCCGCGTGTGACGTCATACCACGGTAATTAAAATCCCAAATAAATTTTGTTTTTCGTATAAATCGAATAAAAGGAAGTTTTTTTTCATGCTGGTAATAATTTACATTTCCAGCCTTATCTGTTGGAATGGCCCCGTGTGATATAATATTTTCTTCGGTAACCAAGGGTTGAATTTCAAAAACTGTGGTTTGGTAATTCCAATTTTGGGTAAATACCGTATCACCATCCTGCGCAATAGAGCAACAAAAAAGAAATATTTTCTGCGTATAATCTATATATAAATAATAATACTTAACTCCATGTGCTAAAATTTCCCATCAGCGAGTCATATAACCAAAACCCTAATTTCATTTATGCATTTTAGGAATGAGAAATGGCGAATTGAAATACTTAAAATATCGAAAATATTTAGACGCCCTTTGCGTTTATTTTTGGGCAACAACGCCCGTTGTAATATCGATTTTGACTTTCGGAACATACGTACTGTTAGGAAATAAATTAACTGCAGCAACAGTCTTCACCAGCATGGCATTAATCAATATGCTAATAGGTCCACTTAACGCCTTTCCTTTTGTATTGAACGGGGTGACCGAGGCGTGGGTTTCAATTAAGAGAATACAGCGATTTTTGAACGTGAGAGTAACCACTTTGAATTTGCATATTTTGTTACTCTGTATTTTTAGTTACATGACTTAGATGTAGAATCGTATTATACAAATGCAGCTTTATTGGAACATCCGAATACGAGCTTAATTTTAAGAAATGCCTCCTTTGACTGGGGGAAATCTCTGTCTGCGGAAGAGCGAGCAGCGCTTCATCATACTCCAAGGAAAAGCGTTAAGGATAAGGGAATCGGGAAAAAATCAGATAGGGGAGAAGGTAGTCCGCAGGAAACATCGGGTGTTTTTAAATTGAATAACATTTCAATTACAATTAGGAAAGTATGTGAAGTATTTTAAGGTAGATGTGCTTCATTTTTGATGTAGGGTGAGTTTATAGGCATTATGGGTGTCGTTGGTAGTGGAAAATCGTCAATTTTCGCTGCTATCCTAGCGGAAATTTCTAAACAAGATGGCCTTATAGCTGCAATTGATTTAGATCAAGGTGTGTTTACCACATCTTAATGGATTAAGTATTTAATGTGTTGCAGGATTTGGTTTGGTGAGTCAACAACCGTGGTTACAACGAGGCACAATACGAGATAACATATTATTCGGCAAAACGTTTGATAGAGAGAAATATCGGAACGTAATTTTCGCATGCTGTTTAGAGGAAGATTTCCTACTTCTACCTGCTAGTGATTTTACAGGAGTTGGCGAAGGCGGAGTGACGTTATCTGGCGGCCAGAAGGCGCGAATTGCTTTAGCAAGAGCCATCTATCAAGATAAGTCGATTTATTTACTAGATGATGTAGTATCAGCGGTTGACGCAAAAGTGGCTAAACACATTTTCAAACATTGTATTATGGGTCTTTTGAAGACAAAAACCAGAGTATTATGTACCCACCATGTGAAATACCTTGCACAGGCAGATTCTATTATTGTCATGGAAAATGGTTCTATTAAGCAGCAAGGCAAACCGACAGACGTGTTGCCTAATATAGATGAATTTCTTCCAATAGATTTAGAATTGGGTAACAACAGTTTCCAGTCTGATAATTCAAGCTCATTTGTTGACAGTATTGACAGAGAAACGACCAGTAGGGAAGATAGCCTACTGAATGAGGAAAACCGCGAATATGGAACGGTGAAAGTTGGAGTTTACATGGCGTATCTGTCAGCAATGGGTTCTATACTGTCGGCATCTATTATATTCTCGCTAATTTTAATGCAGACATCTCGTAATGTGACTGATTGGTGGCTGTCATATTGGGTCTCTAACGATGAAAACTCAAACCACACCAATTCCACTAGCTTTACTACCGATCGCTTAGTTCTGAGCCATCCGCACTTGAAGTTGTTCAGTGCAGAAGTTGACGACTATTTGATCGTATATGCTCTGTTAGCCATATTCAATTCATTTTTCACGTTACTTAGAGCCTTTTTATTTGCATATGGTGGAATAATTGCTGCAAAGAGCATTCATAAGTCATTATTACAATCTGTGATATGGGTAAGTGTCAAGAATATCATCTAATTATACACACAGCTCATTTATAAGTTGTTTTGTGATACACCCAACTCGAAGGAATTACAGTAAACTAAATAAGTACGTAGTTCACCTCAGCAGTCCACCAACGTGGAGTTTAAATGGACGTCATCTAGAACCGACCTTAATTCACCTCACTTCATGAACAAAATATTCAGCGCAGTATCTACTACTGATCCCTAAGCTTTTTTTTTTTTTTTTTTTTTTTTTTTTAGGCTTTTGCCTGCTCAACAATTTACTTACACTGTTATACAAGGCATTGTTAACAAGGATGTGTTTAGTATATAACTAACATGAGCGGTATGTATGACCGCAAGAATGTTTAAATGTTACGTTACGTTCACTTGTGAGCACTGGATTTGTTGGAACTGGTCACTGGTCGCTGTCGTCGCTAAGGAATATATCTTGGGGTAGTTTACGCTTGAGTCGTACATGGATACCTCGTCGTCCCAGTGTGTAGTGAGCTGCACTACTGCAGTTGTTGAGGTTGGCGTGAAATTTTTTAGTAAGTTTCGCTATATGCTGCTCAACTGTATCGATGCCTAGTTCGTAATGCAGTTGTTGGTTTGTGATGAACCAGGGGGCGTTGAATGCAATTCTGAGGATTTTGTTCTGGAGTATCTGAAGTCTTTGAAGATTTGTTTTGGCTGTGTTTCCCCATACCACACACCCATAGAGGATTAATGGACGTATCAGTGCTTTGTACAGGATAATAGTGCATTGAGGAAGTAAGGCGGACTTTCGGTTTAGAAGTGGATACAGCTGGATTAGTCTCGTGTGTCCTTCGTTTAGTTTTTTGAGTATATGGTATTTCCACGTGAGTTTACTGTCAAGGTATATACCTAAGTATTTAACGGGCTCCTCATTGGCGTTCCATTGAATGATGTGACCGTTAATGTTGATGTTTGGTGGGTTATTAATACGTCGTAGTGTGAATATTTTTGTAACGCATTTATCATAATTAATGGATAGGTTCCATTTCTTGAACCATCTACTGAGAATAGTGCTGGCGTCTTGCAGTTTGGAGATGGCCATTTCCAAGCATTCATCTTTGGTTATTATGACTGTGTCGTCTGCGTACATTGCAAGGTCTGCATTGATAGTAGGGAAGTCCCGCATGAAGATATTGAAAAGGATTGGGCCTAGGATACTCCCCTGCGGGACCCCTGATTGTATGGTTTTGGTGGGGGAAAGGGATGCGCGAATTTTAACGGCGAAGCTGCGATTTTCTAGAAAGGAGAATAGAATGGTTTTGATGTAATTGGGTATTTGGAGAAGTGAGATTTTGTATTTCAGACCATTGGTCCATACCCGATCAAAGGCTTGGGCAATGTCATTGAACAGGGTTGTTGTAAATTGTTTGGATTCGTATCCTCTTTCAATGGTCTCGACGACGCGTTGCAATTGATGATTGGTGGAGTGACCTTTTCTGAATCCGAATTGAAAGGGTGGTATAATGTTCAGTCTTTGCACTTCTTCATTTAGTCGAGAATAAATTACCCTTTCGAGGAGTTTCGAAATAGTTGATAGTAAGCTGATAGGTCTATAGCTGTTGATATCTTTCTTTTCCTTTCCCGGTTTATGGATCATAAGTATTGTTGCGTGTTTCCATATATTTGGGAAGTACCCTAATCTTAGGCATGCGTGGAAAGTTGTTGCCAAATACGCGCGTGCTTTTTTGGTAAGTTTTTTTAGTACGATATTGGGTATTGTGTCGTTGCCTGGAGATTTCTTAAGTGATAGGGTTTTGATAATTAGGTCGAGTTCTTTGGGTGTGGTTGGTTTAACGTTTAATTCTGGGATTGGTTGGTGTGTTTCAACAAAGTTGTTTACTAGGTTATTAAAAACCCGATCGGTGTGGTTGTGAGGATTGAAGATTTTCTCGAAATGGTCTGCGAAGGCTTCACTTTTTTCTTCGTCCGAGTTAAGTATTTGAGCATCCGTGATGATTTGTGGAATTTCGTAGGGCTGACGTAGTATCCGCTTAGTGGTTCTCCACAGTCCTGGATCGCCAGGTTCAAGATTACTGATATGTTTTTGGTAGGAGTAGATTCGGTACGCGTCAAGCTGGTGTTTGATACGGTGGGATAAATTATTTACAGCGTTTTTTGTTGCGGGACTTCTAGTTCTCTGCCATTCTCTTCTCAGTGCATTCTTTTGCTTAATTAAGTCGAGTATATATTTAGGTGATGCATTATCATTTGTGCGTTTTCTGTTTACCGTCTCTTTGGTAGCTTTGCGAACGCTATCGGTGACGCATTTTGTTACATGTATAATTGTTTCGTCTATATGAGTTGGGGTTTGTAGTTTGTTGGGATACTTAAGTTGTTTGTCGAGATATTCGCCATAAAGTTCCCAGTTTACTATTCCATTGATTAGTCTGGGCTCGGGGGTGTATTTTGCGGGCGTTATTAGGAATGTAATGATGACTGGTAGGTGGTCCGAGTCCAGCTCGGGGTGCACCTGTTGTAGAAATTGCTTATTAAAATTCTTGCGAGCAAGAATATCCAGTTTGTCGGGTTGATGATCATATCTGTAGGGTTGGTAAGTTGGTTCGTCCGGGGCTTCAATTGGAAAAGCATAAGTTGATGATAAGTCGTAGAGTTTGCTGCCGGCTGGGTTTGTTGCTCTGCATCCCCAAATGGTGTTTTTGGAGTTTAGGTCTCCAATGAGTAGTGTGGGTTCACTTTTGATGAAGATTGCTGAGATGTCTTGTTCTAGAAGCCTTTTGTTGGGTTGCTTATATCATAGACCAAATACACTAGACTGTGCACGGCGTAATGAATCATTGGTCGCATAGATGGCGCACACATTAATTACGATGACCTCAGTAGCGTTTCAAATTTTATTTCGCGAATCGTGATGCTGTTTTCCGTTCATGCAAAAGCGTTGGTTACTCGCCTTATCATGTCAGCTACAGGAAATGTTTTTGCAGAGTCAAATTTCACAGTGTAGAAGCTACCGTTATATACAATATTTTTTCTACAACTGAACCGATTGCTTTTAAGTTCAACTTTGTCATGTGTGCGAAATACTTTTTTTCATTGTTGACGGTTTCGCGCACGTTGTGAAGAGCAACCTTACTTATTAATTAACCGTTTAAAAATCTAGTACTTCGCGTTTCGAAATTCGTCAGAAAATGACAGGTTTTTTTGACAGTTGTAGAAAAATAGGTTTTTTATAATAAAATAAAACAAAATGGAAAAGTGTAAATTTCAAACTGAGTGGTTGAAGAAGCTAGATATTATCTTGGGGTCGAAAATTTAACGACGAGAAGGTGTTTTGCGTTGCGGTAATAAGTATTTTAAGAATGTATCCATTTTATGTTGTTACGTTGTTTAAAATGTTATTAAAATTGCAACGTCTATGCAGTTACGTTTTAACGGTTACTTTTTTTTTTAGATATATTGCCGTTTATGTATCTCATCATTTTCATCTATTACAAAATAAATATTTTTTGCTTAATTTTGTATGGAAATTGGTTCTCGAAGGTCTCGAAATGGTCTCTATTTTTAAATATGTAAATACGTCTCTATGTCTCTATTTTTTTGCTAAAATCAGTTGCGAACCCTGTTTTCAACGAAAACTGTTGATAAGTACTGGCTCCAGTATAGTTGTAAAAAAAATTTGCCAATTTTTTTCCAAAAATATGTTTTAAAGGTTTTCATTAAACGAAAATGCCCGCATGTAATAACACATCAACAATGTTTGGAGCACGTAAAATTTTTATTGATCAATCTAATAACTTTACGTAATTATTACAGTTCAGTTCAGCGTTACGACAGCCTCATCGTCGAATTCATCCTAAAATGTTGATCGTCAAAAATGTGTAAATAATTTATTTGTTTGTATTAGCCTCTATTAGTGATTGTGAAATTTAATTTTACTTTATTGGCAAAAATTTATGTATTGGACTTTGGTATTTACATGGCGTTATTTTATATTCTGTTTAAATGCTATAGAAAAAATAATAAAAAAATAATTCGCAAGTATGCCTTCAGAAGCCGCCAGATTCTGCAAAGAAAGTTATTCAAACTGCGGTTATAAATTTATAATGTAGATGCAAACTTCTTTGAAAACGAGGTACCTTAAAAAAACACTTAAAAACGCATATGCAGCATTTTACATTCCTAAAACGTTACCACTATTTTGGCCCCCGTCATGGCGTAATCTCCAATGTAAAATTCGTAATTCGAAAGAATGTAAGTATATTTTTAGCAAATGCAGTCGCTATAAAACCGGCGCAAACATCAGCAAATTCCTCTGGTGTTAGGTTTATATCGCGTATCTTTATGAATGGAGTAGGCAATGCAATTACGCGGGAGAGGTGATTGTATAATCTTCAAACGGTTGTCGTTTCCAAACGGAACTTCGCGTCGTCGGCATAAGCTGCCGCGGACTTTTTTGTAGAAAATTTCATTGCCCTTTAAAAAAGTCCGCATATATTTTCGTCAATCTCCTTTCGGTTTCTGAGCGTTTGGAAGAATTGGTCAGAGAACACAATTTTTACAACTCTATATTAATAATTCAAAAATCGGACGATATTACACAGCATACAAACCAAAATAATCATATTTACCAATCAAAATAATAATATTGACCACGCAATCTGCCAAATGACGGGTTTTCAGTTGTATAAAATTATTCAGTTTTAAAATTTCTGACGTTAATTCAGTGCGCCACTGGTTGCTGGTAAGCGACTTCTGTTGGTCCAACTCCATCTATACGTATTGGTCCACATTAAAACCGGTGCTCAGTCTATTGTATTTGGTCTATGCTTATATGCACATATGATGTTTACGGAAGTGCCGTCTTGTGCTTTGATTCGAATTCCAACAGTTTCAAGATTCATAGTGTTGGGTGGTTGACATTCGTGGTGTATGATTTTGTGCTTAATAATGATGGCTACCCCTCCTGATGCAATGTTCGCATTTCTATCGGTGCGGTAGATCCGGTATCCAGATATTTTGAGTTTTTCGGAGTGGCCCAAGTGCGTTTCAGAGATGCATGCTATGTCGATCGAATGCCTTGTGAGGAAGCACTTGAGTAAGTTTAGTTGCTTTTTGATGCCATTTGCATTCCAGTTTAGGATTTTTATTTGAGAGATTGTGTTAATTTTATGGTCCATTGAGAAGGGAGGGCAAGAGATTGGATAATATGAATTGTTTGATTTGTTCCATATAGGGTTGGATTAGATTTATGAGGGATGATAATAACGTATTAAGTAAGGAGGATGTTTCAGGTGCAGGGGTGTTTGTTTTGGGTTGCCACGGGTGGTTGGTTTGCGAAGTAGTGCGTGGGAGTTGGGGGAAGTTTATTGTGTTATTGGCGGGTACCTGTGTGTTTTGGGTTCTTGTTGTTTTATATAATTCGTTGCGGGGACGCCTGTCTCGGTTGTTTATTGATTCAGCGAAATATCTGCATCCTCTGAAGTTTGCTGGGTGATTTTCTCCGCAATTGATACATGTCGGGGGCTCTTGTGGAGGTTTGTCGCAATTGGTGTATAAGTGGTGTCCTTGACATTTGACGCATCGTGGTTCTAGTTTGCAGTAGTTTTTAGTATGTCCAATGCGTTGGCATCTGTGGCATTGAGGGGTTTTGTTGTTGTTTCTTCTTGGTTCTATGATGACTGTTGTGTAAAATATGCTGCTGATGTTAAATATTTCGTTTGCTTTTTCGTTGGCTGTTAGTAGCACTGCACACACTGGCATAGGTGTTTTGTCTTTATTCAGTAGTCTAGTGATCCGTATAATCGGCAGGTTGTATTGTGCAAGTTCTTCTTCAATATCTTTCTCGGTTAAAGAAGGTGGGACGTTTTTTATAATTACTGAGAGGGGTCTGCTGTTTGGGTCTTGGAATGTGTGGTACTGTATTTTATTATCAGTGTAATGTTTAGCTATAGTTCTGTAATCTTCCGAGGTTGTTACAGTAATTTTTAACAAGCTGTAACACATAGTTATCACTAGTTTACTTTGTACGCAGTCGGCAGTTAATACCCTTTACATATTTTTGTATCTTTTGTTTCACATCTATATACTCGTATATTTATAGTATATACATATATCTATTTTGTTCTTGGTTTTGCGGCCTTATACTTTAAACAACTACCTATTTGCAATTATATAGTCGGACTGACGACTCACATAATTACGATTTAACGTCTCAGGTCTACTATTGTAATAAAATATGGAGAATTCCATTTAAAATATCAAAGTTGTGCCTAACACCATGTTTATGAAGCACCATGTTTATGGAGCACCATGTATACACTGTGCTCGAGATAAGGAGCCCACTGTGGCATTCTAGAAACGGCAGGAGATACAAATTTGGTTAATAGGATGAAAAGTTGCGCTATTCAAGGTTTAAGAAGATAGCGTGTAGAAAAATTTGTGGTGTTTTGAAATATTTTGAAAAAATCGATTTTTTTGATTTTCCGAACTATTTTTTTCTAGCGTTAATATTTGACATAGAGAAAAACCAATGATACTTCTCCACAGCAATTTTTTAGTACTCTTTTTCTTTTGGCTTGTAAACTTTTTAATTCTACCTTTCGTCTTTGCCGAGCCATCAACTTAATTTTTTTAAAATATGGCCTTGATATTCTAACATCATATTCTTAAAGCCCTTTTTGTTCTGAATTCTATGATTTACAAACTGTTTCAGAGTAATCTCCTATTTTTTTTCAGCCACACTATGGATACTACATTCAAAATATTTTGGGACAATGGTCATATTAGATTTTCAATTAAGTAGACGAATTATTTCAAAATGGCGACTTTCAACTTTTTTTTAAGGAATGCTATCATTTATTAGCGCATTTCTACAAAAATTTAAAAAAATGCGCTATTGCGGCCACTTTATCCGTCCGTCCGCTCGTTCGTTGAGACGCTACTAGTTCTTTATCTTAAGAGCTATTGTTCTACTTTTTTCGCTATTTGGTTCGTTATGGTGTCGAAGCTTGCACCGAGGAAGGAATTTTTTCTGCGTTTATTGCTAAAAAAGTTATTGTAAAAAACCAACAAACCGTTTTTTACATGTTCCATAATTTTACACCTTTGCCGTTTATTAACGATCCTAAAGATCGTTTATAATTTTGTATTGCTGTTTGTCGCCTGTCTGTTGGTCTGTCCGTCTGTTCCTTTGTCTGTCTGTCCCTCTATCTGCCCGTGTGAACGATAACTTTGGTTAGAAATGTCCGATCGCTTTGACATCTCCATTAGTTATGAACTGAATTGCATGAAATTCAATATGGGCATAGGTTTAGCCATATAATACGCAATGCCAAAAGTTGAGTCGAGACGATTCAAAATTCACAGTGCCCTTTTCGCATCTCGATCATTAATAAACTGAATTGCAAACTTTTTTATTTATGGAAGAATTTAAACATAGGCACTTGGAATAAAGGAAAATCTAACGCCAGTTTCAAAATTTAGATTTTCGCATGCACAGTTCCAACTTTCTTATTTAGAAAAGCATTGAAATGAAATTCTTCTTATAAACTGAAATTGAAGTAGCACGCCAAAAATTGATTGCACATTTGCAACGATATCTTTCATATTTGAGGCCGGATTTTTACGATTTTAACAGAAGTTGCATCTTACAAATGGAAATGAATGCAAGTGGAAATGCGCTTTTTGTAAATCGTTTACGATTACTTTTTAACGGGTTTTATTATTGCGATCCCTGTTGAGATCCTAAAAAGATGGTTGTTAAAATGCTCCATTTTTTATTTTAAAGGTTTGAAGTTGTGAGAAAAATTGAAGGTCTTCTCACTACCTAAAAACATTCTTGTCAGGATAGTATTTCGTTTTGCTTGAAAATTCATTTCTTTTTCTATGAAAAAATAAAGTAACATTTTAATGTAGTAGCGTATCAATGGTTTATACTCGATGTTATTTGTATCTAAATATTCAAGTAGCGTTATTGTTTATTTAATGTTTCTTATGTGTCTACCTCTACTTGATATTTGGACAAAAATAACATCGAGTGTATAACATTCGTGCGCTACCAAATAGATTAAAATGTTAGTTTACAATGTCAATAATAAAAAAAAATGATGGCATATCATTAAAAAAAAAGTTGAAAGTCGCCATTTTGAAATAATCCGTCCATTTGAAAATCTGATATCACCATCGTCTAGAGAATTAATACACTTTAATAGAAAAAACAAAAAACCATCCAACCAAATTAAATTACCAGAAGAATTAACAAGAACCAAATTTAAATAAAACAATTAAATTTACAGCATATGTGTGAAAAGATTTCTATTATTTACTAAACACAGACGCATCATCTCACTGTCGATTCTAACACCCTAGTCAGCATTTGCGGAATAATGCTAGGAAAATGCTTCCGAGTGACTCCCTCAGTTCTTCAGTTTCAAAATTTTACTAATAAACATGATCCTTAATGAACACCCATACGAAACAATCAAGCGGGCGAGGATGTTTCCGAATGCGTGATTATTCTCAAACGGCTCTAGAATTATGTGCAGGTACACCATCTTACTGTGTCTAACAGTTGCGATCTATGGCTAGGGGTATGTTATCAAGAGCAACCTCTAAGTCGTTTTACAGGAAATGTAAGTAACGCTCTGATGGTGGTACATAAATGGTCCTACAATTCTTGTACCGACAACACCAGCCCGCATGTTAAAACCAAAACGGTGTCGATGCCTTTACGTTCTATTTAAACGTGGATTTGTTCCCGGCTAATAGTGTACAGTTCGTCTATTGTAAATGCCATTATTCGTAATCATACTTTTATCAGACCATGTTATTTGTTAAGGAAAATTCATATTCTCTTGGCGATTTCTTTTGTACCATTCGCAAAATGGGCGATGTCTTTCTAAATCGCCTGGTTTAGCTTCACCTTAAGTATTTTATATTATATATTAATATATATTTTATATTATTGGTTTTGCTCTAGGTCAAATGTTAACGGCTGAAAAAAATAGTTCTTAATATTGAAAAATTCGATTTTGCAAAAATATTTTGAAAACGAGCATTTGAGAGATTTCTAAACACTATTTTCTTAAACCTTTGAGTACGCAACTTTTTTAACCAAATCCGTATGTCTTGCAGTGATACCATTGAATAAAAACACTATAAGAAGCCTAACCCCGTGGAAATAAAGCGCGACAGAGTTTGAACTGAGAATATAATGGGAACACTGTCAATAGAGTCGATTCTTGAACTGAGAAGAATGAGAATTTGCTTTCCTCCTATTTACCGCAAAGAGAGTTCGGCGGTCACAACCAATGCGGGTGCAAGGGGATTTGTGAGATTTGTCGCGCTTTCTTCCATAAGCGTTAGGCTTCTTATAGTGTTTTTATTCAATGGTGATACTGAATTCTGACATGAGAAAAAATGAGCTGTGTGTGTATACATTTTTGATAGACAAAACATCCATTGTTTTCCATTACGTATGTTTTTTTTTCTAGGCCAAAGTGACATTCTTTGATGTCTCCCCACTTGGTAGAATAATAAATAGATTTTCTAGTGATACATTTACAGTAGACGACTCTCTACCATTCACTGTTAATATTTTACTAGCGCAATTTGTTGGTGTAATTGGTAAGACTTTCGCAGCATTAAACAAAATATATTTTAAACTTTTTTTAGGGTCAGTTATTCTCACGATTTATGGACTTCCATGGTTATGTCTAATTTTAATTCCGTTAATTCCTGTTTACCATTGGTTACAATATTATTATCGCTTAACGTCGAGGGAATTGAAGAGACTATCAAGTATTACGCTATCTCCTATTTATAATCACTTTACTGAAACACTGCAAGGTAAATTTTAAATTCTTGCATATCATCAAATCAAATTAATCCAAAAAATATTGCCTTAGGTTTAGTTACGATTCGCGCACTTCGAGCAACGCACCGATTTCGACGAGATAATGAAGACAACATCGAGGGCAATATGAAGGCTCAATTTGCTAGTCAAGTCGCAGCGCAGTGGCTGAGTTTACGACTGCAATTTATCGGTGTAGCAATGGTGAGCGGAGTTGGATTCATAGGAGTGATACAGCATCAGTTTAATGTGGCAAATCCAGGTTCGTGCCAAGACACTCAACATACAGTAGAGTTTACAACACCCTAATTCTTCAGGTTTAGTTGGTTTAGCGATTTCCTATGCCTTGTCCGCCACAAGCTTGCTTAGAGGCGTTATAAACGCCTTTACAGAAACAGAACGGGAAATTATTGCAGTAGAAAGGGTTAGCCAGTACATCGAGGAAGTAGAACCGGAAACCACGACCTCAATAATAGATCCACCGTATGCATGGCCCATTCAAGGTGTCGTCAGCTTCAATAAAGTTGTTTTAAAATACAGGTAGGTTGATCACGAATCGCTTGAGTTAAACATTACTTCGTAGGGATCACCTGGCGCCTGCATTAAAGGGAGTTACTTTCGAAACGCGGCCGGCGGAAAAAGTAGGTGTTGTGGGACGCACAGGTGCCGGAAAAAGCTCTTTATTCGTGGCTCTCTTTCGACTATCTGAATTACACAGTGGTGCAGTCACAATAGATTCAACAAACATTTCCCACATACCGATATCCGTTCTAAGGTAAAATGTAATGTTTAATATCGTGTTTTTGCATTCATCACAAAATTATAGATCTCGCCTTTCTTGCATACCTCAAGAACCGTTTATGTTTAGTGGAAGTTTAAGAGAGAATTTGGATCCCTTGTGCAACTTTCCCGACTCCGAAATTTGGGCGGCTTTAAGTAAAGTAGATTTAACGCGAACTGTCAAAAGGCTGGGTGGATTGAATTATCAAGTCACATCTTCAGGATCAAATCTGTCAATAGGTCAGCGACAGCTGTTTTGTCTAGCCCGAGCAGTTTTACACAACACCAAGGTAAAAATAACGCTTCTACTTATATTACTTCATTACTATCCTTTAGATTCTATGCGTCGATGAAGCAACTGCAAATGTGGATCAAGCGACAGATAGGCTAATACAGCAAACCTTACATACTGCATTTCGTAAAAGCACTGTCATTATAATTGCGCATCGTATCGACACAGTGTTGGATTGTGATAGGGTGCTTGTAATGGGAGATGGTCAGGTTCTTGAATTCGATTCACCAAATGAATTATTAGCTGATCCATCTACCCACTTCTATAAGTTAGTGAATCAAGAGTAATTTTTCTATTGTGTATATTTTCAAATGTGAATTTTAATATATTTTATATGTAAAACCAGTATTTATTATAAAAGTGTTACATGAATTTTCTAATTATTCTATGAATCTGTATGGTTTCTTTGCCAATTTGATGATCCAAAACTGAAATAAGCAAACTGGCTCAAATATTCATATCCCATTTTGATTGGGGCAACCTTTGACAAAGTAGCCAATCTGTTTGAGATTCATCACTTCCTGGTAACATTTAGCATATTGTTTGATGATTTCTTAAATTTACATTGCATCGCAGCATAGCGTATTTGCATTTAAAAAATTCACAATTTTCTGGATTCGTTCGCCTATCCGTCAGTCTAGACTATTGCGCCTAGGAAGATGCACGCCAAATGGCATCTTGTTCTTCATCAAGGCGTGCAGTTACAGTTACTATAAAGAAATATCCACATTTCATCTCTATGGTTTTTGATTTGGACAATGTTATCAACGCGGGACGATAGATCAAATGTGGATGAATTTAGGTCTTGTGGATCCGAACGATTTGACCAGCAACGGTGACGTCGCCGTAACATGCTAGGTTTAGGTGGCGTTGTGCTAGTTTCACGTCAAGGAGTTGATCCTGCCTGAATTGTTATGGTACTCCCGCGCCAGTGAGAGTGATCACGTTCGATCTGTCATCTCTTCTGTGCGAAGGCGATGGCTTCCGCCTTGTCGGCGTTGAACCTCATGCGCCAGCGGTCGAAAGAGGACAGGATATCGTTTTCGTGACGTTGAAGACGTCGGATCGCACCTTCCGACACCCCAGGGCCTCTCTTGTGGCGCGGACGACCATCTCTACGTGTTTGAGGACAGAAGGGAGATAATAATTAAAGGGCGAAGTTCACCTAGGGCAGTGGCCAGTTAAACTCGGGGGGGGGAGGGGCGCACTGGCACATTGTGAATATAAAAGCCTTAGTAGAAAATTACTGATTGATTGATACATATAGATGGGGTAGAATTTAGGATTCCATTTCAAACAATAAATTCAGGTGTTCGATGTCCACATACAGTACCAGCTGTTGCTACCGGAACCGAAAAGAACCAATTACATTTATAAGTCCTTCACTTTGTACTGAAACCGTTATTTAACAAGTTATGATATCCGGAACCGATACTGCGGTACCGTTATTATTATTAGTCCCAAAGAATTGGTATTCTTCGGTTCTCTCTCTGTTGCGCTTTGTGAGAGGGAAATGCGTTTTTTTTGTTGGTCTTAAAATTTGCTTCTGACTTCTGACTTGCTTTACTTTTCCTTGTTTGAATCATCACTATTTACTTAGTTCTGTAGTATCAATAAAAAAGCCTTGATTATTAATATTCCTTATCGCCGAAGACTGATCCGGTATCCACTAGATGGCCCAGAATAAAATCTTTCCTTCTGAATTACCTTGCTAGAAATTTCAACAGCCAAAATTTCAAATTCTCACTTTTATTCAGAGCTGCCCATTAATTTCTACCATTGAATAAGTAATTATACGAGTACTTATTCAATGTTTCTACCAACTTAACCCTAACTAACTTAATAGGTACTAAACAAAATACAAAATATTTTAGAGTGACCAAAAATGAATAAAAATCAGTAAGAGAGTTTATTTATGTTGGAACTCTTAAAAACCAAAAAAAAACTGGAACCGGAACCGAAAACTACTGATGCCACAGAACCGGAACCGGTACCAGAAATAATTCTACCTAAATAGTGCGGAAACGTAACCTATATTTCACATGGGTTCCAAGCCCTGCATAGTACCTACCTACCTACACATTTTTATAAAGATAGAACGTGGGGAATGTAATGGAAACAATGTAAATGAAGTTGCTTAAAAGAGGGTCTTTTTCCTTTTCGGCAAGCTTTTTTGGGCTTGTCGGAGGGGGCACTTGCTCCCTGCTGTATCCGCCACTGAGCTAGGGGCATCATCGCCACCAGGTGTTCTTCCGCACTTAACCCATTGGAGATTGGAGGTGATATTTTCCTGAACCTTGAAGCAAAATATTCACGTATTGGATTTTGCTAGTATGGTCAGTGAGATGTGCGAGATCGCTTTTTTTTGCAGAGTGGATAAAACGTTATTAGTTATTTCATTTTGATTCCGTGTTCTCATCACGGACCAAGATCTTTAGCACGTCTTGTTTATTGTAGTTTTATTGTAGTTGGTGGGCGGATGGCGCCGTCAAAAGAGAATAGGTACTTCATTTGGCCTTCGTTTACAAACTATAGTTTTTATCATACTTCTTATGTATGTATGTACACTGTACAGCGGCTGATGTTACCAGAGTTCCTTGTTGGTGGATTCCCGCGTGTCATTATGTTTTGGATACGTTCGTAGAAACCCTTCTCATTTGTCTTGCGGCGATTTCTTGTGGGATAGGTACCGTGCGACTAATTTATACTCATGACAATGAGGATCCTAAGTTGGCCTAATCATAAAATCCTCCACAACATATATTTAAGTTTGGAGTTGTAGGGTCTCGTTCATAGAGTGAAGAAGTAGGTAATAATCGTCTAGCGGGGTGTCCGTGGCGCGTGATCCCCACGGTTGATTTATTGTTTAGACCACCGACGAGAAGTATTTTGTTGTTTAATTACGGAGTAGGCGCCCTTCGGAAATCTACTTTGGAGGTGAAGCGGGTTAGCGCAAATAACGTCAACGTTGATCAGCGATAAGAATCGAGAAACTCATGTTGCTTTGCAGATTTCATCAATGGGCTTTAAACCAGAAAATCGTTCAGCTGTTTTAAAGGGTTGAAGAAACGTCAAAGATTATCAATAGTCCTAAAAGTGTGTGTTAAGTAGGTATATCAACTCATCACAAGGTCCGGTGAAACGGTGTCAACGTATCAAGTCGACTTCTAAGAAGTATTATTATGAGACCATGGAACAAACACACATAGAGCACGTGTCCGTTTCAGACTGAATTATTTGTTCTAAATGGTGTTTGTATCACCTCGTTGTCTGGCTTTGATTTTCAATTACACGCTGGAAATAGATCGTGTTAAATTACCTGCGCAACTCTGTAAATTAAGCACGCTAGCAAGTAGTTAGAGAGGGAATTATTTCGCACAAGATCAGGGAATTCTCGTTTTGGCAGTCGAGCTGAAACCAGATTCGATAGCGGCCGTGGGCTGGTAGAGAAAATAGGAGAGTAGAGGTCCCAATAGATTAGCGTTCGGATAACCGAGCTTAGGAGGCGTAAACAAATTCCTAGCGATATACTGGTCCAGTTGTAAAGTTTTTGAAAAATCGGCATTAGTTGTCAACGTGAAAAAAATAAGGTGCCTAGAAAGCGTTAGTTAACGAGTGCTAGTTCAAGAAAAAATACAGTTTTGCTAAGGGATATTTGTGTATTCCACTGTGAGCGTTCGAAAAGCTCATGAATGTAGTATCCATTCAGTCAAAAGATCTCGTCAGGCGTTATACAATGGTCAAAGATGAATATTAATCTGTTGCATACTTAGTAAAAATGTTAAACTAGGATTCAAATCAGTTTCAAGAATTAGCAATTTTAAATGTACCTATGCTTTAATCAGAGGAACCAACTGAATTAGATCTGTGTTAGATCTACTTTTTTTTTTTCTGGGAGTCAAAAAACTTCGTGTATGTGCATTACTGTTTTTTTAATCATTGTTTACATTTGATGATCATACAAATTACTGTGTATTAATTAAAGGTCAATATTGTCGAATGCATAATATTTTACCACGACATGTTCCATTGTTTTGTTGTAATTTAATTTATTTGATACTCAGTTGTAAACGTTGATTAACAAGACAAAACGCAAACGGGTAAACGTCATGTTTAAACGCTACTGACTTGTAAAACTGACAGCTGACCTGTAAAAATGTTACAAGTTAGTAATCTAGTAATTTCATTGGCCAGAATTAATGCGAAGTCTCTGTTACATGGATAACATGATATTTTAGACATTTCTTTGAGATCAATTTAAGAATTAATTATTTACGTTTACTATTGTTTACAAATGAGTAACAAATAAAATATTGTACATTATACGCCAGGTAATAGTTTTTACTGGCTCTAGGAGATGACAGGCTCGCCTAACAGCTCGCCAGTCAACTTCTCCTATCGCCAGTAAAAACTCACTTACCTGGCTAATAATGTAATAGTTATTTACCTAACAAGTTCGGTAAGTTAATTTTCCCGCATGAGCACTTTGTTTGCAGCACGACCGTAGGGAGTGCTGCATTTAGTGCGAATGCGGGAAAATTCTTTCCGAAAGAGTTAGGTACAATATTTTTTGTAACGAATTACGTAAAAAAAAGGTCAAAATTAATAGTTTTGTAAATTAGTTTTTTTTTAATCATGAGTTGGTAACACAATCATATGTTTGGTTGGTAACATAATTTTGTAACTACCATTGCACTGGTCACATTTAAAACTTCCACATCTTTGGTTAATACATATTTTGCCTTTGCAATGAGTGCTACTACTGGTCACGGCATTGCATCGTTTGCACTGAATATCCTTGGAAGTCGTCAATGTTAACAAATATGCTTTGAAAAGAGTGCTCTTATTGGTCGCGTAAGTGTACTGATCGTATTTAATATTCCCAGAAGACATGTGTGAAGAAATGTGTTCTCAAATTTGATTTATCTTGAGTTGCGTAAATACACTCGTTACATTTAAAATCCTTGGAAGCTTTGTGTGTGTTTATGTGCTTTCTTAAACTGCATATGCGAATAGTTGCAGAATATCACTGGTCACATTTTAAGACGTTTTAACAATAAATTTTACTTTTTCTTGAGTTCCAATTTTGAAAAATAATTTGATTGCGTTATAAGTTCTTGTTTATATATTTACGTAAAACTTAGTGTACGTCTGTTTCCGATTAATCGCACTAAATACCCTCAACCAACGGTTTAAGGGGGGATTAACACCAAAATGTGAGGTTAATATAAATTCAAATTTCAAATGTACAAATTTCAAAATATTTTTACTTTTTTCGTAAAAGATCATTCGTAACACCTTCATCTGAGACAACTACGTGATGAGATACATATTTCGCATTAATACAAAAGAAAAAAAAAGATACGTAACCT